AACCTCCTAAGTTCTTGATTATAGGTGTGAGCCACCAAACCTGGGTAAAAGTCGTCAGGTTTTTTATTTTTTTTTAAATGTATTTATACGGGGACTACAGAGTCATACTACATAGATCGGACTTGTAGTCATTCTCCTGTTTTTAGCTTCCCCAACACTGGGATTACAGGCCCATACTATCATGCCAGTGTAGTCACCATCTCAGTGCACCCGAGGGGCGGGGCTGAGGCCAGGACCAGGGCTGGGGCTGGGGCTGGGGCCAGCCCTGGCATGCTGGGGATCGGATCCTGGCCACTGTACTCTGCTTAAGCAGGCGCTTTAATCTGCTGAGCTATCTGGCTGGCCCTGTCGTTTTATATGAGTGTGTGTATGCTTGGCTTCAGTCTTTTTTTTTTTTTTTTTTTCTGGAACCAGGGATTGAACTCAGGCCCTTGTGCTTGTCAGGGAAGCGCTTATTCTACTGAGCCATCTCCCCAGCCCCGCTGGCTTCATTCTATACACATTTGTTGATAATAAATGATGGCAAATACTGAGAAAAGTTACACAGTAGAATAAACAAAATCGGAATAAGACAAATATAAGTATGCTAGAAAATTAATACTAGAATCCTATTTGAAAGATTTGACTAAAATTTTGGCTTTGCATTTCCTGTAAAGTGAGGAAAGGATTAAGTCAGCTGATTTTTAGTGTGGAAAAAAAACCTTGCACTTCATGGAAAGCATAGCTTTCTTAGTTCTTTTTTTCTTTCTTTTTTTTGTTTTGCGGAACTGGGGATTGAATTCAGGCCCTTGTGCTTGCCAGGCAAGTGCTTATTCTAATGAGCCATCTTCCTGGCCCTGCCTTCTTAGTTCTTACCTTGAAAAAAATGGCTGATGTGGGCAAGCTGTTGTTTGTGAACAGTGTCTTGATTTTGATTGTATTTTTATCTTTTTTTGGCATTAAAAAATTGATACATAGCTCAGTTACATGTGTAGAAAATTTTGAAAAAAAAAATTTGGAAAAAGAAAAATTTCTTAATGCCAAGAGATAACTAAGATTAGCATTTTCTAAGTATGATTAGAAATTTTTCTGTGATCATGTATAAAGACCTGTCTATCGTCATAAGGTCCTTGAAGGATTAGATACCTCAAGTATGACAAGGTAAGTTAGGCAAGGTCCCCAGCACCTTTGATGGCCCAGCACCTTTGATGGGCACTATTCTACACATTCAGTAAGTCTTTTTTTTTTTTTTTTTAATTTTATTTATTTATTTATGTGTCTGTGTCTGTGTGTGTGTGTGTGTGTGGCCAGCTCAGCCCACCAGGGGGTGGGGCTGGCTGGCATGTGGTGCTGGGGGATTGAACTGCAGTCCCTGTGCTTTGCCAAGCTTGTTCTAAGTAGGTGCTTTAGACCACTGAGCCATCTCACCAGTTTTTTAATATTCTCTCCTTTTTTAAAAAAAGTTTTATTTATGTGTGTGTGTGTGTGTGTGGCCAGCTCAGCCCACCAGGGGGTGGGGCTGGCTGGCATATGGTGCTGGGGGATTGAACTGCGTTCCCTGTGCTTTGCCAAGCTTGTTCTAAGTAGGTGCGTTAGACCACTGAGCCATCTCACCAGCCCCCTTCAGTAAGTTTTAATAGAAACTTTTAATTGCTGGGTGTCCCCTGCATGTGGGTGCTATAATGACCACATATTGGCTGTTAACCATTTTTTTTTTTTTTTTTTTTGTGGAACCAGGGATTGAACTCAGGCCCTTGTGCTTGCCAGGGAAGCACTTATTGTACTGAAACGTCTCCCCGACCCCTGTTACCCAGTTTTTGCAACAGTTTTTTTTTTTTTTCCCCCACCATTTTACTACCTTAGGGAGTGTAAGTATTATGATGCGCATCTGTGGCCATATTCACAGCTAGGTTTGCTTAATGGCCTGTATCCCTTCTATTTGCAGTGGGTTTCTGTAGTTGTTGCTATTTCCATTTCCAAATGAGGAAACCTTGGCTCTTCTGAAGTAGCTTATTGGCTAGGTTGGTGAGTGATCTGTTGAATTTTCTCTAAGGCTTGGTAGTATTTCCTCTAGCTCCCTAAACAATTTCTATCATCCACCATCCCTTAAAGATGATCTTTATAGTTACATCCCAGTTTGTCACCTCATATAAGTTCAGTCTGCATCATGTCAGTGGGAATAAAGTGAAAAATTTTTCTGACTTTTGCAAAGATCTTCCATGTATGTTTGCTACTGTATTTATATATTCTAAGGGTTTGGTCTTGATCTTAATATTTGATTCCCTTCTCTTCTGTTCATGGGATTTTGCTTCTCTGAGTTTGGGTAAAGTAGTGGTCTATACCCTCTTGAGACGCACATAAGGCATTTCAATCATAATTTTTCTAGTTTTCATTTTTGGGGTACTGGGAATTGAAGTCATGACCTTACCCTTGCAGGAGGTACTATACCACTGGGATGTATCCCCAGTTCTCCATCTATCCCTTAAACAAAAGAGTTTTTCAGCTCTTAACTAGTAGACACTTCCACCTGTGAGGAAAAAGCTTCAGCTTGTGCAGCCTTTTCACACCAGCAGTTTCTTGTAGGTGCCACCTCTGTGCCTTGGCTGTGAACTGGAGACTTACATTCAAAGTTGGATCCATCCTGGGAAAATGTCCACGTGTCTCAGGTCTTGCACCTCCACCCCTACTCCATGCCAGTGGTTTGGGTGAGTTCTGCAGAGTTGGAATATGACCTTGGGGTTACATGTGGCCCTCTGTTATTAGGTCTTTTAGTTACTGTGCAGCTGCTACCTCACGTGCTAGTTGGCCAGAAAAATAGTGAGGTTAGCTGAGAGCTAGACTTTATTTGGCAGGAAAAGAATGAGGTTTGCTGTATCAATGACCCATTGCTGGCTGCTTCAACAAAGCAGTCAGGCTCAGGTTGCTGTGGTTCGATCCCCACAACCCAACCAGTCATGCCTTGAAGGCATTCGGAGCAAAAAAAAAAAAAAAAAAAAACAAAAACCACTTCAATGACCCATTGCTGTGTTGACTGGAATTACTAGTTGGGCTAAGAAATGGGAACTTATATTCTCTTTTACCAAGATCCTTCCAACCGTATGGCATCAGATCTGGGACAGAATGGGCCTTGCAGGGGGCCAGGGAGATGGCTCAGTAGAATAAGCGCTTCCCTGGCAAGCACAAGGGTCTGAGTTCAATCCTTGGTTCTACCCCACCCCCAAAAAAAAGGATGAGTCATGCCAAATATTGGGTGTGTGCAAGGGATGTGTATGACTGTTCAGGGATTCCATCTTAACCTGTGTAGGGATAAGGTTTAGCAACTGGGGACCTGGGAGCTTGGGAGGCTGGAGCACAAAGTCCTGGTGAGAGGCAGGTAAATCAAAGTAATAAGTTAAGCATGATGCAGTCTAAGCCATCCTCATAGGAGACAAGTATAGAGTACCAGAAAAGAAGCAGGAAGAGAGAAAACTTGGGAGGTGTTGGGGTGTGTGTATGCATGAAGAGTTGGTTCAAATGTAGTGTGTGAATGGGCTCAGTGTATGGTGAAATATGCTCTTGAGCCCTTTCTTTTTTTTTTTTTTTTTGCGGAACCGGGGATTGAACTCAGGCCCTTGCACTTGCCAAGCAAGCACTTATTCCACTGAGCTATCTCCCCGGCCCTTGAGCCCTTTCTTATTTCAAGAATGTATTCTGTTTGCTAAGACTTATAGTCATAAAAGAGATTGTGAAGTGTCTACTTTTGGAAGGCAAGAAAAAAGCCCACAGACAGAATTAAAAGGTAAGATGTATCCTCAGAGACTACAAATTGCTCCTACAAGGACTGGGGAGATGGCTCAGTGGAATAAGTGCTTCCCTGGCAAGTGCAAGGGCCTGAGTTCAATCCCTGGTTAAAAAAAAAAAAAAGGATGAGATTGCTCACACATACTGCATTGAAAATGCAGGAGTAACTATGTGCATAGGTAAGATGTTATTTTCCTTTCTTTCTCTGACATTGTAGTACAGTGGAAATAACAACTGGTTTCCTATTTGGGAAGAACTAGATTTGAATTCTGGCTCTAGCAGTGATTGAGTTGAATCTACTTTTCTCTCTCATCCATAAAGTGTGAGACTATTAATCTCCTTGTCAGTGAGTTGTTGGAAGAATGGAATGAGAGGAAGTATTTATACAGTATTTAGCATAGCACCTGGTACATAGGTGAGGGTGATGCTTGATAAATACATTCTTCTGTGAGGGAGAGCAGCTCCTAATGAAAATACAGTGGCTGGCTGCTGAGACCTGTCAGTCCATCAGCTTGCTCAGCTCCCCAGAGGATGCTAGTCATCCTTGGGGTGGGTGCTGTGGAGGAGGAGACTTATCCATCACACCCGGGCATGGTGGGAGGTACCAAGGAGAAATATTAGATCTGCTTTCTGCTTGAAGTCCATGGACTTACGATAGATGTG